CAACATAGGGCCATAACCTGAGAGAATCGGGAAGCGCCAAGTGTCCAATTAGGATGGCTCAGGGGCCAACTATATATAGGCTGACTAAGTCGGGACGCTAAACCTAAACGGGATGGAATCCTGACACAACGTGGCTTTCTAGGCCGGAAAGTCTTGGCAGTCAGCATGGCTGTATGGATAGACTGGTGGCTATGGAAGATTGCATATTGGCTTTGGAGGTCAACATGTCAGCTTACGGTCTAGACTACTCGTTTTAGACTTCCGATTTCCCTTCAATGGGCATGCTACGTCAGTCAGTCTCTACTGTGCATATTCCTTGAAGTAATGTATCAAATTGGCACTGTAGAAGTTGGCCCTCGTGTCTTGCCTTGCCAACTTCGAAAGCAAGAATCATAGAAAAGTAAAACAAACTGCAGACTTGTGCCTAGAAGACCCGGAATATGATGCTCATCCTTGAGATGTTGCAGAACAATGCTGACTTGTACATTGAAGAACAAATCTCGGCGAATGTGGCGACTGGCTAGATGCGAAGGCGACGCTGCTGCCAACAGGCTATGGCCAACGACTTAATACCTGGCCTGCACTGATCCATAAGACACCCCGTTGAACTCCAGGTTGAACAAAATAGACGCAGAAGTAGGTGTCATGGTAATCTGATAAGGGATTGTGTAGTACTTCTGTCCCAAGGAATTTATCCCACTGCCAAATAACTTGCGTGGAATTGCACTGAGGTTTGCCTCCAAAGTGCAGACCTTAAAGACGTCTAGACTATGAAGTTAGCAAACAATCAGTAGCAATGTGTATTATTCCATTGTACCTTCAGTGAGATGATCTGGTGCTTCATCAAGGTTGCAGATGTACAGCGAACCGCCGACTCGTTTTAATTTCTCCACGCAACCCACCTTTGCGATCCAACGATACCAGCTCATTCTGATCGGCTTGTCCTCGGAGATGGGAGTTCCCTGGATATAGAGTAATTATCTGAAATCTGATTGAACAATTGGGATATGCTGCATGTCCTCACCTTTTCAATGTACCACTTCATGCGATTGGCCACGTACCACTTTTCAGTCAACAAGTTCCAATATTTGTCCCCTGCGTTATGAAGCCGTCGATTGTACTCGTCGTCGAATTTGATCCCGTAGTGATCATCGAGCAATCCGCTGTCCGACCTGATTTCCTCCTAGCCCTCGGAGAACAGCGCCACTGGAACCTTGTTAGGGACGCCCAAGGTTGCAGCAGAAGACGGGGATACATACTGAACAACGGCAGACCATCTGTGACGGGTGTCAGTGGGTGAGTTTTATCATTATCCAGGAGGACTCACGCATTAGGCGGCTGCATCACCGTTACATTCACCACGGCGGATTGCAAACGTCGGAAGAGATACTCGGAAGAACCAAAACCCCCAACTAGAAGGATAGCCTGTTTATCATCAATCGTAAGTGGCTCTATAGGCCAAAGGTACCTGTTCGTGGCTGCTCACCTTGGGCCGCATTCCAGCCAGGGATACTTGTAATATCTGGTCCAGCACCAGCCTCTCAATCTCATCGACGACGGGAAGAAATATGCCCCCAACATTCTCCCTACCTGTGGTCAGCCTGTCCATATAGGTAAATATCAATGAGGTCTTGACCAACTTTGTCATATTCAAGAATCCACCCTCTAGCGCTATCTCCGGCTTGTCGCCAATACCGTTCAAAGGCACAGAGTAGTCCACCTCGGAGTATTCGTCATGATCATCAATCGAGACACCGGCAAAATTCGGCTTCACGAAGTCCTGCCAGTAATTCAATGCTGTCTCCCGGGTTTTGTAGGATAGGCTTTGGTATGTTTTCTTTCCGAGGAGTCCGACCAGATAGCTTTCAAACCGCTTGTCGAGAAGTACAGATCCACAAATGGCCCCTAAGTTCAGCTAGTGAGCACTGCTCCGCGGTGGATTTCCAGTGGTAGATTTACCAGTTCCCTGAGTGACTTCTATTAATTCAAGGGGATTGACACTCTTCATACAGTAGGAGATCAGGTCCTGCTTAAGTTAGTCTCCTCTTGTTTATTGCCGCTTTGCATATTACGAACCACTGTACCACCGCCCGCGTCGCATATTATGACCACATCACCGTTCTGATCAATAATCAGTGTGATGTTTCTCTGTCTGTGGGTGCGCGCTTACCTCGATAGTACCGGGCTGAAGTGCGTTCAGGCAAGAGAGAGCTGCTGCCTCGGGTTCCGACACCAGGGTCACATCGAGCGCAGAAATACCGGCATCAGTCGCTGCAGTTAAAGTCATGTTCTTGGCTTTGTCAGTCCAAACAGCAGGAACCGTTAGTACGTATCGAATCTCCATGCTGTCCAGGGCGTTCCCGAACCCACGACGGAGGGTTTCCTTTGCCGAGTTCACAAGAAGCTGAAGGTAATCCCGAGCGACGTCAAGTGGCTGCTTGCCATACTTTGCCAATATGTCCTTGGACTGTACCGCAGGCCTGTAATCGATTTCCTGAGTCGGGTCAAGCAGGAGCTTGACACCCCGAACGACCTCGCCAAACATCGGTGTCTGATAGCCCCACAGGAATTTTCCATTCTCATACGATATGGTTGTAGGTACTTTGGGCGTTGTTCCTGGCGATATGAGCTTCTGAGAGCCGGATTTCTGAAGTTGGACTCACTGTTTCTAGCACCTGGCCAAGAGTTGATCACCTTGACATCCTCAGGACTGGACTGGAGAGCCCAAGCGACACTAGACAAGTGAGCATCATGAAGCCATAGAATGAAATTGGACATATTTACCCACTATAGGTGGTGCCAAAGTCAATACCCACGACAAGACTGAGGTTGATTTTGAGGACAGGAGACTAGGAGAGACCAAGACGAAGGAAGGTTCGGCGTCTGCAGAGCAGCTTCGTAGGGGAGAGGTAAAGTAATAACCTGGGTTGAGCAAGGCGTAACTCAGAAGAGGACTAAAGGTTCTTATATAATTGCCATAAGAAAGTGTGTGAGTGCTAACTTTCAAACATGTGTAGCACAGAGTGAAACCCTTCAGGAGCAGTGTAATTAAGAAGGTCAAGGAGGTGGCAGTGGTTGATGGTAGATCTTTCACCGGCAGTCCTTGCCCTTGTTCAACTCACTTCCTGCTTCTTTGTGCCTGAGATTACTCTCACTCTTTCACTCAAATAGCTTGCGTTCTTGCCCTCTTTTTCATATTCAGAGGGGCATAAGGTTTATACAGTGTACTTCCTATCACTCAATCCCTGATATGCTTTCATAGCTTCTCCTCTTTTCGACATGGCTCTGGCATGAACGCTAGCTTAGTGATAGAAACAGGTACATAACCTCACTTACTTTCCATTTAGGCACAACTAACATTAAAGGAGGGCACAAGCAATCGATTCCTCAGCAACACCAAGCTCAAGCCAAGAGAGGGCGACAGTCTCGCTCACAACAGAGCCCAGCAGCAACCAAATCATCACAAACGCAGCGGCAGAGACCAGAGTCGCGATGGACGACGGCTGGTATGTGGCGGGCCGCAGACGTCTTTTTAACGACATCAATCGAGTCTACTATCGAGCACTACAGGCAGAGGAAAGATGTCGCAGGCAAAAGGAGGAGAATGAAGAGACCCGTCATGAAGCCTCGCAAATGTTACAGCAAAAAGATCAGCATATCGCCGAGCTTACGAAACGGTTAAATGACTTACAATATCATCCGGACATTCTGAACGATGACGAAGCGATTCAGATCATGGTCAAGCTCAGCCAAGAACTGGACGTTTGGGTCAAGGGCAGCTTCAAGGACCCGCATCTTCTACAGAATCTCCCACAGGTGGAACTCGTGAATGCGCCGTACAGTCCACTACGTGTGGGAACGATCAACAAGCTGCAGAACACGCATCACAAGTGGGCTTTCATACGGGCATTCGTCACCTCATATCTCTTCTACTATTTCTTTGATGATTACATGGTGGGAGTCAGGAATCCGGAGCTTAAGTATATCCTGATTACCATGGAGTCGGAGATCTTTGACAAATGTATGTTCTCGCTCCAGCAATAGCTTATCATTTTTACTACTGCGGCTGACCATTGTTTGTCCAGGCCCAGGCCATGTTGCTGACAACTGGCGCTCAGCCACCACCATGGCCTTCCACTCCATCACCAAGGAATATCTGGAGGACGTAGCCATAGAATGTATGAGAGGAATCGAGCGACTGGCCCCCTGTGCATCTGCCGATTCCGGGCTGAGAGAAAAGAAGCTAGTTGAGCTTCTTCGAAGCTGCGTGGAGTTTAAGCGACGCCTTGAGCGACAGCCAGCTCGATATAGCTTCTCACAGACCTCCTCGGGTGACAGATTCATATCGGAGACAATGCAAAGCGTGACGGGACAAGAAGGAGAAGGCGCTGTTGTGGAGTTCTGTCTGTGGCCTGGACTATGGAAGGGCGACGTTCTCCTCTACCCTGAGACTGTCTGGAGTAAGATGGATGAAGCTTCCGTGGGGGACTCCAACCCATGAACAGAAACAGTTCCCATCTCTCACGATGAGGCTGGAATTAGTTGCCAGACTCGGGATGTAGTCATGTCTCGGGATCATCATTTATTTGCAGACCCATCTTGTCCTTGAATGAACTTTGACCTTCACGGATCTACTCTTTGCGGTGGGCTTCATATTCCTGGTTCTTCAAGCAATTAGTGGATCTGACATCTAGTTTCCCCTGCGCAGAGTAAGATTTGGCAGTGTCACATAATCACTACACTCCCCTAGTCTGTATTCCTTCTTGGAGTTCACCGAACGGCGCTAGGGCACCGAGTTGATATCACAGGTAGATGAATCACAGAATCTAAAAGCTGCAGATATGCATAATTTGTTCCCTAGTTTAATATCTACTGCCATGGCTGCACATGCTTGGTCATGGTAGCAGCATCTATATATGCTAATAATGCTGGCAGGTGGGAGCAGTTGCTCCTTGCACACTTGGGGCTCCTCTGGGAGGTAAATCCACACATAATGGGACCCTCACTAGCAATCTTACTCATGGTTAGTTGATGCAATAGTAAGCTCAACTTCGTGATCTGCATAGCTATTAGTCTAGTGTTGAATATACAATGGAACCCTACCTTCTTTTAGTCTTGCAGAAGTTTGGCTGTGGCAGTCATGCATCCTGGGCATGAGACATAGAAGACAGCTTAAAACAAACCCATCAGTCCTAACATTGGTGCAAGTCCGCGGATGAAGGTCATGTAGTGTTCATCTTTTGATGTAAGTGCCGCTGCTTGTAGAAATACCTAGATGAGCCTCTCTAGCCTGGAATTGGGATTACACCCATGATTGTGAAGGGCGGTATCCACCTTGGAGAAGGGAACGCCCCCTGGCGAGGTCATAAATGCCTGGCGTTGTCAGTTATTATGAGCCTTTGGCTGGCTGAACTGTACATTTGATTTACAGGTATCGATCACTCTTTTAACGCCTAACTTCTAAGGAATCCACTGGAGTCTGACCAAGATAGCCAAGCCACATTGGACCGTCTTTTTTCTCTTTTCCTGCAGGTCATTAACACAGAAAGAGGCCAACTGACGCTGAGTACAGTCTGAATGGCATCTGTACGACCTCAAGTACTTCGATTCTGGTGTTACTTTGGAGATCGATCCACGTACTGTGATTTTTTGCGCCTTCATGATAATTCTCAACCAAATGACATCCGTGGCAATTGGCTCAATGGTAGTGGACAGGAACACAGAGTCTGTCACACGTCCAACTCAAAATCAACCCAAACCCATCCAGAACATCCAGGACTGACCCGAAAGGGACCGAGAATGTTGCTGAATCTCGGCATTCGGGCAGGATCTACGCTGACTGGCTGACATTCAGCAGTGAACCCCTGTTCTCTCTTAAGATACATCTTACTGACTGCCATATAGACCAATCGGATTGCTCTGTGCATATTAAATGCATTCACAGCCACCTTGCAATATACTTTGCGCGTCTTTAGCTTCTCTGTGTCCATGAAACATTCCCTGAATCCAAACTAATGCTAAATAATGAACTAAGACGTAGGAAAACAAGAGTAGATAGAAGGATGATATAGGAAAATGCAGAAAATGAATCCAAAAGCCAATCAGACGCCGTTAGTAAACCCATTGCCTCCTGCTTCTGTGTCGATTCGCATCGAATCCATCAACCCGCACACCTCAAACAGTTTCTTGGGCCCCAGTCCCTCAGGGATGCCCGTGACTCCCTCGTTCTTCAGCCGCTCCAGGGCAGCCCGGATGCCCAGATACGCAGGCGCCAACGAAGCAAATGAGAAGATCATAATCCGGAACCCCATCTCCTTGGCCTCCTTCGTCGTGATTACCGGACCGGCGCCGTTCTCAACCATGTTGAGCAGCAATGGCCACGGGGCCAAATCCTGGACTGCCTGGCGCGCCATCTCCTTGGAGGTGAATCCCTCCAGCAGACCCACATCCGCACCAATGTCCCGCGCCGCCTTGAGACGACGGATGCACTCGTCGTAGCCGTGCTGCTGCAGCGCGTCGGTGCGGGCAATCAGCACGATATCCGAGCGGAGTCGCTCCTTGGTCATCTTTGCGGCGCGGATGCGGGTGAGGTACTCGTCCAAGTCGACGACTTTCTTGCCCGCGAGATGGCCGCATCGCTTGTTCTGGATTTGGTCCTCGATGTGGAACCCGGCCACGCCGGCCTGGATGTATTGCTGGACGGATTTGGCGACCATGAGGGGACCTGTCGTGGTTAGCCGAGGAGCGTTGAAGAGAACTGCGGAGGTACATACCTCCGTAACCAGTATCCATGTCAGCAATCAGAGGAGGACCAAAGGGATCCAGGTTGGCGATCATCTCCGCATTCGTTCTCATGTCGTAGAGCTGGGCCAGCCCGAGATCTGCCATGCCCAGTCTAGAGGCGGTTGTTCCCGCACCAGTCTACGAGATCAGATCATCAGCGTGTGCACTGAAGGTATTGTGGGGAGACACGGAGATTATGCATACCATGTAGAGGGCCTTGAAACCGAGCTGCATGGCAATCCGTGCGGACAGGCCATCGTAGACTCCCGGGCAGACGATCAGCTCGTCGGTATCGCGGAGCTGTCTGCGGAGTTTGGTAGCACCGGCAATCATGTACAGATTGATTGTGGGCTCACGACTTTCCCCGTTGATCTCGTAGAAGCCGTCCTTCTCTACGGTGATGGTGATGCTGCTCATTTTGGCAGAGTACGGAGAAGGATAGTGGTTTGAGAGGTTGGAGAGGATAGTTGTTGGAGAATATGATTTGATCTGACCAGATACGCCCTTTTATAACCTCCTTTCTCTCGCAATCCCCTCTTCTCGGCGCAATTTCTCTCCGTCGGACGAGTGACCCTCGTCAAGAACGTTTCGTTATCGCACCTGAGACTGCTAAATGATACCCTCCATGTCGACTCGTAGCCACCATCTCGGCCAGATCGTAACATCATCCATTTTGCCAATCATCCGTATTAGTTTCGCTTGGCTGCTGAAGACACGGAGGCGCCAGAAACCAGGCGTGATTGTGGAATGCTTCATCGACGCCCTGTATCGATCCAATGAGAGGCATGAGGCGTCTGTACGAGGATCCTCCACAACAAAGTCTGACTCTGGACCGAGTGATAATCCAGCCAACGAGGAGATCTCTTTGTAGAAGGCCGAGTCAAAACCTGCTCGCAATCAGTGTGATACACTGGAGCTCAAGTCCGCATGCCAAGTGGAATGCGTGGGATAAAGTGCGCCTGCATTCGACGCGCTGATAGGGGGAAAAAAGCCGGCGAAGAAGTTGGTCTGCAATCCAGACGTCCATTTGACCAGCGACGGCCGTGATTCAAGCTCTTGGCTTTCTCAAAAGATGGTGTTTTTTTGGATTTCGGACCGTGTATCCCAGGAAACTGTAGAGTCTGTCGAATAGGGAAATTTACAGCATTACGCTGCTAGCCACGCGGCTTGAAGGATGTAAGGGTGTTGCTGGATCTTGTGGAGCGGACTCCCTGGTTCCTTGTCGACAGGGACATGAGTTGGTGGACCGCAGACTATGTCTCTTCGCCGAATCAATGCGGTCTCTGACCTCTACCAGTGCACCGAATCACCCCGAGCACGTCTTCAACTCCGAAGCACGATTTCCTCCGGCCTCGCCTGGCCAAGTTCCTTGGCAGTAAGGATACGCTCGGCGCCACCGTCGCCCCGCTTCGTTGACCAGCTCGAATAGTGTGAAGAATAAATGATATCCGAGAGACTAATCATGCTGAAACTAATGAATGTTTTTCCGAGTAGCTTGGACCGACTGGCCCGTCTTGCTATCGGGGAAATCCGTGCTAATCTCAATGCATCAATGCTGCAGACACCCAGGGTCTTAATCTAGCCCGGGAGGAAATCTTGTTTCGATACGAGAGGGGTTGGAATTGTTTAGTTTGAGGATATCTCTATGGTCTTTCGGTTTCTCGCGGTGTTGCAACAATTTCATTCCTCGCTGCTCTTCGAATAACCCGGCCACCATGTCCACCTCGTCGGACCCCAAGAAGAAGAGCGTTGCTGGGTTTTTCAGAACAGACATCAATGCCAAACACGCAGAGGTGCTCCTGTATGCTTGCTGTCTGAGCTCTGGTCTCGTGGATAGCACCCTCTACAATGGTAAGTAGCCTCGATATAGCTCTTATCCTGCAGCTACTGATTGCACAGCGTACAACACCTTCGTCTCGATGCAAACGGGTAAGTCGACCAGAAGCATGTCACAAACGCGGCTCATTCTTTAGGAAACACCATTTTCGTCGGCCTGGGCGCTTCAAATCAGAATCCTAGGCCATACGGCTGGGCCCGCTCTCTCACCTCGATCGGATGCTTCGTCATCGGCTGCTTCCTATTCGCCCGACTGAACCGTCTTCTCGGAGCGAAACGCAGAGGGACCTTAATCCTCTCGTTTTTTATACAGGTCGCTATGCTCATCATCACTGCTTCGCTGGTACAGAGCGGCGTAATAGCGGGCATCCCCTCGAACCCCGCTTCAAGCGAGACGCATTGGAGCCAGGAAGCCCCTATTGTGCTCCTGAGTATCCAGTCTGCAGGTCAGATCGTCGCTAGTCGGGCGCTGGGGTTCAATGAGATCCCAACTGTGGTCATTACCAGTCTTCTTTGCGATCTGGTCTCGGACCCGAAGTTGTTTCTCCTTCGCAATGAGAAGCGGGACCGTCGAGTGGTGGCGTTTGTTCTGACACTGATCGGTGCAATTGCTGGAGGATGGATTACCAAGGCGACGCACGATATCTCGCCTGTGCTATGGCTGGCCGCTGGATTGAAGTTGATGATTTCTGTTTCTTGGATTTTCTGGAGAGAGACGGAGGCGGACAGTGCCGTATAACTCTTACATTTCGCTAGGATGATTACAACCTGATAGAAACAAAAAGCAGTTGTCGTAAATCTACTCAACCCAGATATTCTGCTCATCTCCATACCCATACGCAATAAACGAGTCCCGGAAATACTTCTGCAACACCACCTGCTCATACGACTTGTCATCCACGCAGTAGTCACCCCCCGTAGGCCCGATATGCGCACAGTGGATGTCCGGCCGGTACTTGACCATATGCTCGTGCACCTCGCGACAGAGCAGGGTATCCCGTCCCAGCTCGAACTCCTGTCCGAACCGCGTCTTCTTCGTCAGGAAATCCAAGCAGGCATCCGTACTCTCGTATTGCTGGTTGGCCCCCTTGCAATGCTCCTCGTGTGTCTGGCAAATTGTGCTCGCTAGTAGCTGCGTAAGCGCTGCCTGCACCACAGCAGGGTCGGTGGTATTCATCTTCGCGCCTTGCGCTTTGAGCAGCGTGTCGAGAAGGAAGCCGAACCATCTGAATGTTGCGTCGTACTGCACGATCTTCTGCTGCGCGTCCCATTCGATCCATGTGTCGATGGTTACGGGCACGATGATTCCGAATGAGGTCGCGTTGAAGGTGACGACCGTCGTGGCCGAGGCGATGTTGTCGTTGGCGGTGAACTGGGTGATGTTGTATGCGATGGGGACGCCAACGAGACTCAGGTGTTCTGGCTCGGAGAAGAGGCCAAAGATGTATTCGTTGTTGAGCTCGCGGCCGTCAAAGGTGCGTGTGATGTCGACTCGACCTTGGACCTGACATCAATGTCAGTATGGTTTCTGTTTTCATGTCGTGATCAGGGAAATACATTTTCGGCAAAGACAGAGTCGTCTGTCGCGTTGATCTGTGCTAGGTTCGAGGGGTACAGGAAGACGTCCCAGAAGCTTCTCTCCAAAGACCAGAGCTCATCAAAGGAGTAGCTGGGATTGTCGTCGCCATGATGAAAGGGGCTCGACGCCGTCGCCAGGCCAGACAGGCAACAAGCTGCAAAAAAAGCACTGCCAATCGTGTATAAATACATTGTTTGAGACGGATCTTTGCTTGAGTTTTGAGGATCTTCCAGGTCCCGATTTATATCCTGCTCATAATGTCTAGTGACAGACATACACATGGAATGCTGGCATCCACAACACCCTATGAGACCGAGAATGTCAACTGGACCAATTATTGGATCCAGCTCAACGTCACATCTCAAACCAGGCGTGTCAGCAAACCAGCCAATTATCTCGAGAAAGAGAAAAGGAGATGGGTGCCTGGTTCCAATCAGCAATGTAAGACATCCCATATGATCGACATGTCCCTTGCTGGCCCTGCAGCTCACTGCCATTCCTATTAAACTCAAAGCGGAGATCTGGTGTCCCTTGCTTAAATCACACTGGTCTATCATATGCAGCCAGGATCATTGCTTGGGTTATTTGCAGGGGATCCCGACGCAGAGGGTACGCAGCCGCACATGATGATTGATCTGACGAGGTGGGACTCCCGAAAGAGATGCTCAAGGTCAGCTTGGTATGTCCAGTAATCTGGATCAAAAGCTTTTATTGCTTGTGCTACTGCTGATCATTGACTATGATCACACATTCTCCAATTGGTGTGATGATGTGATCACCTGTGGACTTGTTTGAAAGTGTCCTGAGTCCTTGGCAGAACTTGAGGATTGAAGACTAAGTAGCCAATGTAGTGTGTCTTGCTCATTCAACACAAGAGGACATATCATCTATTCGTTTTGACGGATTCATTGAACGAAAATGCCTGAGTGAATGGCCTCCTAAAAGTACCGGATATCAGATGGACGATGCTCTCAGATTCTTGGCGACAGGAGAGGTGAGATATCAACCTGTCAAATGACGAATCATTTTCAGTCAATATGCAATTGAAAAGCTTGACTAAACACTTTTGAATATTACCCGCTCAAGAAAACAGACAGCCCAAGGAGGAATCAGGAAGCCGTGTCCAGGTCTAAGGGAAATCACTTCGTGACCGAGGGACTTAAACCCCTCTGCATTCTGCTTTTCTGTCCAGCATTTTCTATGCGGGAGAATTGAAAAGCTTACGTGAGGATGCCAATGGGTTCAGAGATCAATGTCAACGGACTATTTACGGTAGGTACAAGACCCCTAGTAAAGGCGAACCCGTCTTCCTAATGTCCCATGCTGCAGGTCACCTAGAAAAAAGACCCCTTCAAAGCGGAAGCAACAGCCTGTGCCGTAAGATTGTGGATTGCAATGCCCGGGTGGTAGTCATTAAACCACAGACACGTGGTGCCATCGGCGTTATAGCAGGTGGCATTGGCCGCACCATAGGCCGTGGGATTATCCAATGCTTTGTTGAATGGCGCCTGCGTATCCACGACAGTTGCCGTAACACCGCTGTTCTTGGTCTTGAAGTCTGCTAGATATGTCGCGATCAAGTTGTTGTACTTTGTGATCACGGCCGCCTCCGCGGTAGTGACATCGGTGCCTTGGGAAAGCATGAGTGGGGAGCGGTTGATTGCTGCAAGTTATTAGAATCTGTCAGCGGAAATCAAAGAGGAACGGAGCTTACGAGGAACGCTGAGAAGCACGTAGTTTCGCACACCAGCGTTGTAGAGGATTTGCAGCTGCCCAAAGTAGCTATCCATGATCTCGGTGAGAAGTTCATCAATATTGGACAGCCAGTATGAGTTGCCAACGTCGTTCACGCCCATCCAGACGCCCACGAGGGTGTTCTTGCTGGTCCATGGCGCATAGGAGGGCTTCGAGGCGATGCTGTTAGTGAACTCGGTGACCTGGTCGATGAAGCTAAGGACGGTAGAGGTATAGGGAGCGACAAGGCTGGCGTTGGTGGTCGCTCCACCGTAGGCGAAGTTGTATGACAGAGTCAGAGACGTGTTGTATTTCGAGATCAGGAAGCCAATCCAGTTCAAGCCTCCGCTCGTCGTCCATCCCGGCATATCGGGGTTTCCGAGAGGATTCGAAGCGGAGGGCTTGGTGCTGCTGACGTCGAATCCGCTCTGGGAATAGGAGTCGCCACTAGTTTGATTAGTTCACGAACATGCCCATAAAGGTGAGAGGAACTCACAAAGTGATGAAGTACTTTAGTCCGGTTGGTGTAGCGGTAGATGATGCTGAACTCGATGTGCTTGAGGCTTTTGTAGTTGTTGTGGTCGTCGTGGAACCCGGTGCCAGCGTAGTGGAGGTAGATGTCTGCATAGTGCTTGTTCCAGGTACGCATTGATCTATTTGTCTATTAGAGGTGATTTTCCTACAGAGCTAACGGGCAATCGGACGTACAGTACCAAGAGTTCCAGGCTGTACAGACAGCTCCCGAGACGCACGAGGTAGGGCCCGAGTAGCCCTGGCCACCACACTGACCGTACAGTGATGCTTGACCGTTGGCACCAAGTACCAGAGCCAAGGAGGCAGTCAATGATACAATTGATGTGCGAGGCATTGTGGAGGGTCAAAAGATGAGCACAAGACCGGACGATGGGAGAGAAGTTACACGGTAGTCCTTATTTCCGGCAATGCCAGCCTGATGAACAATCCACGAAATATATAGTCCTGAACGTCTCTCCACCAAGAGCCCTTGAAGAAGACTCATTGGTGGAAAGACGCTTGACGTCCATCGTCTGAGTCTTCAGAATTGCGGTCTTCCTCCACGTCCGTGATCAAAAGGGTAACGGGCAATCAAATCTCGGCCAGTACCCCCGACAAGCCGAATCGAGGCAATTATCCTCGGTTTTAACCGTCAGAATCGGCCAGAATTATTGGCTGAAATAGTTCCATCAGGGGACGAGCTTGGCGTTCTTGATTTCTTCAGCCATTTCCCCGCAATCTAATTTCGCATTCACGTATCGCTACCCGTGACGAATCTGGGGCTGGCTCGGAGACATGGATGGCTTGTAGCTGCAAAGATTTCAACTGAAAGGTGGAAGAAAGCCCTAAAACTGAATAGAGAAGATTTTCTTATGCGATTCTTCAAAATCTGCAATGGCCAGTGCAGGAAATCAGCATCTTCCACCTTCGTCTGGTGTAATGAGCAAACTCGATGAAGTTAACCATATGACATAGGATACAGGTGAGTCATTTGGATGGACAGGTGCCCGCAAAGTGCAGGATAGCAAAGGCATAATCTTTGGGGCAGTGTAAATGAGTGGTTAATGGTCAAGCATCTCTTCCATAGCCACAGTCCTAGGAAGTTTCGAAGAGCAGGATATCTCTCTCTCTAAGTATAGCAAGCCCAACAAAGGGCTTCTGCGGCGCATATTGTGGCTGGGATTGAATACTGCGGCGTTTACAGGCAAACTGATAGGCAGACGCCTACTTAGATCTCTAAAATAAGCCTCATCTCCTCTGTAGGCACACAGTTCTGAAAGACAAGAATCCAGAGCGCATACTGAGACCACACCTGCTCCTCTCCACATTTACCGGAAGACATCCACCCTACAACGTCGAATTTGAATCAAACTCAGTAAAGTTCACTCTTCATTAAAATGTCAAGAGCACGCATTATCGATATCGATGTCCTACATTGGAACGCTTCGAGTGTCTATGTCCGCTGTCCTTTCTGCGAGCGAGTACACCGACACGGCTTTGTTGACTACGAACCTGGTCTTCGGTTTTCCCATTGTGGAAATCGAGCTTCATCCTATAGATTTTATTTCCCGATCGACCAGCAAACCGGCGAAGTCGCCTATGAGATCGACAAGCGCAACGCTCGTTTCGTCAACGTCTGTCAACTGGGGGACCTGAAAGACGCTTCCGATGATGATGAGCTATTGGAACAACAACTGATGAGAGCAAATATTTCCGACGAGTGGGGGGCTAATATGGTTATTGCTGCTCGGGAATATTTGACAATACGTGTACCAGATGGTGAGAGCTTCCGAACGAAGCGAATCCTTTTCGCAATATCCAACTGCGTCAACGGCCGTGCGAATGCGGTCAAGAAATTCCTTGACAAGTCTCCGGATGCTGCGTTCTTTCTGCAAGGCAAGTATACCGACGGACAGACGATGCTCATTCTTGCGTCCATGGAGCAGAGTCCTGATATGGTGAGACTGCTCCTCGATTACCATTGCGATGTGAACACTGTCAACCATCAAGGCCGTACAGCCCTGATGGAAGCGGCCCTATAGGGTCGTCTGGACAACGTCAAGCTTCTTCTGGCGAATGGAGCAAATAAATACCTCCGTGATTTTGATAACCGTCGCGCGGTCGACATGGCGCAGCCCATCGCTCGGAACCTAGAAGAGAGAGATACAAGAGCGCCATGGTATAAGGAGGCGGCAGCTCTTCGGGATCGTGAAAGGAGAGAAATTGCCTCTATACTGGATGACTCACTGACGTGGAGACGAACGGTGTTTGGACCTTCGGCTTCGGCTTCTCCATGAATTGATCAATAACACTGATTGGACCTATTGAAAGTTACCTAATAACTACAGATAGAAAGGCTATTGCCGTGCTGGAGCGCGGCTGTGGGTTTCCTCAGATAGCGGCTATGAGTGGATGGTCCCATGAGCGGTCGCCTGTCCATCTCAACGGACAGGTCTGGACAGACAAGGTCATGCACCTGGCGTCTGGGATAGGTCACACCTTGGCACCGATTGCCAATCGTGATCATGGAAAACCAGGTAGGTTCCATGCGTCCCATGCTGAGAAACACCTCATGGCATACTTCGTTGATCGCCATGTCTTTCTACCAGAGGACACGGGTCCAGATGAGGGAATCGAGGATGAAATCGGCCGCCTCAGTCTCCAGATTGAGGCCAAGATCGACTCGTGTGCTACCGTTCGCCGATTTTTCGAAACCCAGCAAAGAAAAGAAAATCTCGAGCAAGAACTGTTTGTGGCCCATGAACCAATGCCGGGAGATGATGGGGATATAGAAGATGTTGAATTAGTGCAAAGATTGAAGCAGGATATCAGCCATGCGAAAGAAGAACTCAGACATCTTGAGGCACATCCCGAGGTTGGGGGAGTGCGATTGCTTCAAAGAAAGCTACGCTCCGCTGAAAAAATGGAAAGAGTCCACAATCGACTGCTCCCACTGTCAGAGAGGGCACCACCAATAGCTCTGAAGAGTGCTGTTATTCTGATCAGTGCACCGTCAGAAGAGATCTGCAAAGACTGTCAGATGTTCCGGGATCGCCTGAACGAGACGTTCGGTTTGTCTATTGAGCTGGCTGAACGCACAATCTGACTATACCTAGTATTGCATGCCTCAGAGATCGACTTCGTTTACTGCTGTTCCTGTTGTGTCTAATATCAGTTTCGTTCATGCAATGAAATGTCCAATTCGAGGCGTAGCGTACATGCCGCCATCCTTGAAGTGATGCGATGACACTTTGACATGGGCTGACGGCCTTGAGGGATATTGTTCCTCAACACACAGATTTGAGTAATCAAGTGTCGATGGACTGATTCATGCAGCCTGAAGTCAGGCTGATATACGAGCCCTTGTAGGCAAACTGAATCCTGACCAATCCCGGATATTTTACTGTCTTGGATCTGCAGGTAAAGACTTGGCAATTGTCCGATATCGAATGACTCGGTGGGGATTCCTGCATGTTTTAATTGTGAGATTTTAGCTGCTTGCCGAATCACAATACCACATATGCCTCGAGTGGATCAGGATCACAGTCACATCGCCATCCAGGACCCTGAAGGAATAGCGGGGTGTGCATTTATAAAGCAGGCGGTTTCCTCTGAGGGGAATCCCTAATGAGCAAGCCATTGATAATCACCAATCATGCTCTGGACTCTGCTGCTTGCTGTCGTTCACGGACACGTTGGTATGTAGCCTCAAGACCAATATGCTATAAGTCTGACAAGTCCAGCCTTGGGTCTGGCTGTCACGGCCAGCTCCATCACTATCCGTCCCAGTCCATCACCCACTAGCGAGCCGTCACCGTCATCGTCGACAAGTGGCCAGTGGCTGATTATCTCTAATACATCCATCTTCTGGCCCACATACACTGACTACTTCTATGGACCAACAACCGGCCCCGAGGCGTCCGTTGTAACCTGCAATGCCAAGTGGGTTGAATACTTTGGCCGGTCCACCGGACTTCGCTCGCTGGGACCAACAGGCACAAGTATCTCCTATATCCCATATCCAACCAGCGCCGGGGCCTGCAGAACCTCCTCCTCCCTGGAGGAATACTCGGATACCCATACAGGACCAGTGACAACCCTCTGCGATGGCATTCCGCGCGCGCTGGGTCCTCGCGAGACCGTGACGTCGTACTATCCCGGCACTGGACCCTGCAGCTCTTACACCACCACCTTTTCGAATACTGTTGATCTCTACCGGGAGCCCCCAGCCCCGGACTGCACCCTCAACACTCAAGAATGCATCCCGATCTGGTCAACGTACAGGGAACTGTCCAGTTCGTACTACGACTCTATCACCACCGTCACTCTAGGCGACACCAACAGCCCCATCCCACCCGTTAGCTGTCCTTCGACGACGCGAACCTACCCCGAAAACCCCTGCACAAACTGCCACTTTCTCCCCGGCACGGCAACCGTCTTCTACTGGCCGGTGACCACCGCCGGCGGTGACCTGTGCCTGCAGAACGGCACCACCATCCCCGCTTCACCAACCGGAACCGGCCCCAATACCGCCGTACTCAACGGGCAGACTCTCGTCTCTCCGAGCATCTACGTCTCGTTCACCTCAATCTACGCTTGGAGCAACCGGCGCGCCCACCCAGGCAGCCAATGCGGCGACACGCACACCGACACCATCATCGCCGTGGATCCCGTCAGCGTGTCTTCAGTCCGTCACCACCGAAACGCAAAGTACCCCACCATCGGGACGGCCTATCCTTTTGATTTCGCCGAGTTCACCCCCCAGGAAGTGGGCAATTATACCATGCCGTTGATCCCCTGGCCGCAGTACCGGGGAGGATCGCAGTGTCCGCTGTATGATCCCTCTTGCACGATGATCCGGGACGATTACATGCCTTTCTTGGATCTTCCCGAGGCCGTCCGCCAGATCGATGCGCTGTGGACGGAGTGTGATGCGCACTGGTATATCCCGCCCGTCACGCTAGTGCCTTTGACGGGGGACATTGAGATTCAACCCACGCCGACGGCTGAGGCGACTATCATGGCTGGTATGGCGGTGCCGGAAGGGGTGGCGGCTATGCCCACGCCTGAGCCCACAGGGTGGTAGTGGAACAACTGAGTGAGACTACCATGATTCTAGTTGATATAGTGCCTGATGGAATTGCATGAGGTTATCATGAGTCAATACAAGCAAGGCCTCGAACATAAACCTTGTTACTCTCTACCATGCACGTTCCTCGGTCAGTCCTAGTAAGCAGTAGCGATGAGTCGGTAGTCAAGTTCGACGATAGCATGAGCCCAGAATTATGAAAGGTTGAGGACTAGAAAACATTTCCGCTCATGATATCTTCCCTTTTACCCAGGTGAAACAAAGGAATATGCGCGATCGGGGCAGGCACAGTCACTGTCTGTCCACCAGCAAATGTCTGGTTTGTCCACCAGTATGTCCACGTCTTGGTCTCATTCTGACCAGTCCGCGGCAGATACACCTCCCACTCGGTCGCATTGGGCAACATCACTGGGGTTACCAGCAGCCTCGGACCGAACATGTACTGCTGGGTGGTAGCATTGACATTGGTCTGCGTCATCTTTGCAATCTGCGGATCTGTCCGCTCGAAATCCATATACAGCGGCCTCATGATTGCCCGACCCGTTTGATGAAACTGCTCAAAGACGGCCTGCAGGTACGCCTTGAGCTGATACCGCAGCTGGATATACGAAACGATGATCGGCGTGTTCCCCTCGCCGTACGACCACGGTTCGTTGCTGCAGGTGTACGCATGCTGGACATCGCATTTCCTCGATCCGTGGGTCCGCATGAACGGCAGGAACGTCGCCCACTGGAACCACCGCACGTACAACTCGCGGTACTCGGGCGTGTCGATGTTCGCGCTCCACGGCACCGTCGGGTCAGCCTGGAACCCTCCTGCGTCCATCGTCCACCATCCCCAACCGGTGGCGGCTGCGGAGAGCCCACTGGCAACCTGCACGGCCAGCGTATCCCACACCGAAGTTGTATCGCCGGACCAGATCATACTGCAGAAACGCTGGGAGCCGATGTAGCCCGAGCGGCTGAGGCTGATGTGGTCGCATGCTTCGCCCATTTTCGTCGCGGTGGCGTTGCGGAAACCCTCTTCGATGGCTTGCTGGTGCGCCCAGGGGTACAGCTTGCCTGCGCTGAGCTGGGTGCCTGCGGCGTAGAGTACGTTGGGCAGCGCGAACGGCATGGACTCGATGTATGTGCTCTGCCCGTTGTTCTCGTAGGCCTCGCCTAGCGCTCCGCCGTCGGCTTGGTCAATCCAGAAATTCTTGATTCCCTCGTCGTAGTAGTTGCGCTTCAGCGTGTTCCAGAGAAACTGCCGAGCGGCCGGATTCGTCGAGTCGATATTCCGGATGTAAGATCCGTTCCAGGAGTCCGTGGTGCCGGGCCCAGATCGCGTTGCAGACAATAGCCCATTCGCCATAAGTTCCAGGTAGTTGTCACTCTTGTCGGATACGCTGGGCCAGAGCGAAGCCATCATCTCGGCGCCGGTGAGATCCATGACCTTCTTCGCCATAGATGCCACGTCAGGCCATAGACGAGGGTCCAATGCCCAATCTCCCTGGTGAGCCCAGGACTGGTAGTCGATGACGATCATGGAGACTGGGATGTTGTGGTCTTTGAAACTCTGAGCCAGCAGCTCGACCTCGGTCTGATTCTCATACCGCAGCTTCGACTGGATATAGCCGAGCGAGGCTTCAGGAGGCGTGGGCGCGCGACCGGTCAGCGCTGAGAGCCGACGCTGCAGTGTATCGTAGTCTCCTCGCTCAGCAGCGACGATGGCATAGTCAACCACCGTGGCCGACTCGGCCGTGAACTTGTTCCGCAAGGCTCCAAACTCCATACGGCCCTCAGACGCCATGTTCCACACAAAGCCGTAGCCCTTGTTACTCACAAACACCGGCGTCGGAATATGCGTGTTGAAGTTGACCAGATCAATCACAGACCCCTTCTTGTTGACCATATGATCCTGCTGCGTGCCCGTGCCGTAGACCTGCTCGTCCGGCGTCGATCTGAACGAGAATTCGGCGGAGAACTCGCTCCCAGGCCCACGCCAGAAGTAATACCTTGGATTGACCGACTTGAGAGGCGCATACTCGTTCGTAAGCAGCGTCTCCGACCCATCCTTTTCCACCCGGTAGAAGGCCAACCGATAACCCCCTGGGCTTCCGCCCCAACCAGATGTGCGGACGACCATGTTGCCATTTCGGATGGCCACCGTCCGATTGCCATTGAACGCAGTGTCGAAGTCCAGGCCATGAGCTTTTTCGCCCTCGAAGCCCTCGAGAGGCGGGTCGTAGATGAAGCTGATCTCGTTGCCAGTGGGCGGACGATAGGGCCAGGCGCGAACGCGAAACCCGTCGTAGCCAAATGGTTGGACAAGGACCGTCTCAAAGCCATGTTGCATGCGGAACCCGGTCGAGTTGGGCATCACATAGTCTGCCGCGCGGGTTTGCATGGGGTTCGCCCATACCGTGGACACGGCGCAGATACCGACCAGCCAGTGATAGATAGAGGGCATCTTTGCGGTTGGCTATGTACCATGTCACCGATCTGCAGTAAAGCACGAGCTATTTAAGAACGTCTGTCGAATTTATCCGTCGCGAATTGAAATAGGCTGATATTGATGTTGTGTGACATCAGTTGCTGCGGGTGTATGCGATGCATGGGCGTCATTGGCACGACTGCACTGATCGACATTGTTGTCCACATCCATAGGCTTTCGGGAGGACCTGCACCGACGGTGGAAACATTTCAGTCAATTGGCGCGAACTGAGGAATGCGACTGTGCGGGGTGCTCCTGCGAAGGGATATCATTTCTCTTTTCGGTTCGATAGTGTATCCTGATGCTCGGACTGTGGCATCTCGGCTGATGATTCCCCCAGAACTTGTGCTGACTCTTGCTCTTAAGGATGCAGAGATGGCTCCAGTATTGGAGCATTCGGATAATCTGACCTTCATTCGTCTCATACTTTAACTGTACAGTATACAGCTTGTGAAATTCAAGGGTGGCCATCTGTACCTCCGCAATATCCAACAATGAGGGGTGGTGGGTCTTCTTATATCGACTCCACTGTAGGTCGACAGAATGGCATGAATAGCCTAATTTCATTGAATTAGATGTATGATTGTCTTCTAATTGGATCTCGGCTGATGGGAGCGGATTGTCAGCCTATAACAAGCTTTGTAGAAGAAACAAAAAGCAGCCACAACCGCAGAATGCACTCCTCATCCTAAATCATACAATGGGTCAGTATTACCGAGCGTGATCTAAGTCCATGAATAGGACAGAAAAGTATATGTTTTTCGGAGCAATTCCTTTAGGTGTCATCAGTAAGTGATAGAGCCCGTAGACTTAGCCCGCTTTTTGTTATTGATCTTAGTATGTGCTATAACTGCCTGGGATGAACATACTGATCATCTATCCTAAATAGGCAGTATCCTCTGTGTATATGGAAATCACGAGTTTCTGAGATACCCTCTAGTTTACTAGGCTCGTGTATGCAAGGCTCCATATGTAAGTGTCCAACTACCTAGTACAGGCCTAGCTAGGAAGACCAAGACCATTGACTTCTATAGAATCATCCAGAAGATATCTACAGCGGTCATCCAAATGGGTGGTTACTGAGCCCTAATTGGATGGGTGCACCACCCGCCTCGTCCATCAGTTTCCATTTTACATGAAAGGGAAGTATGACCTGTCCAGATAAGACAATTCTCCCATGCTCCTACTACTATCTATATACCAATTACAGTAGGAGGCGTACTCTGGATTCTTATTCTTATAGAACTGGGAAGTGACGAATATGATTGGCCAATGACGTAACACCTGACCAGAGCGTCAATCCAACCCGCCAATCAGAATGCTTATCTTCCACCTGTCAACCAATCAGATTACGCAGAGGAACAACTTAGCTATCAATACCTATTCACAGACTAGAATTGCCTGGAAGACTCCAACTATGTGCAACTGCTATCGCCGAATCTGGACCACAAAGTTGCATCCAGGCTGCTCTCTGGCATTCTTGTGTCTATCTACTAGAATATTGACTGGAGTTTCCACCAGCCGAGACCTCACCGGTTACGGAGAACTCTATTCTATTCATCTAGTGGAATACTTCATCTGCTCTCAGACATGTTCAGTGGCGGTCTTGGCAGCTTCAACGTCATACCGTTGTGTCCATGCCAACATAACAGGTGGTTCAGGGGCCCTTCCAGTCTTTGCAGGGGGCGACTGACTATCATATTGGCGGGACTTGATCAAGAGTAGGTGGCCGAAGTTCATGGTGACGGAAGGATCCATTCTCCGCAAGGTAAATCATGTATGGGTCTTGGTAGATGGGGATTTTTATCATGGAGGCGGTGGGTCACTACATGTTATACAGGTTTATGTGTTTATGTGCTTGGTCTGAATGACTGGAGATAGCTGACATCAGGAATACTGCAATAGCTTAGCGGAGGATTCTGCACCGGTGGTTGTTTGGATAGAATATAAAAGAACCTCCCAGAAGATCATGTGTCTGCAAGAGGAAGGCAGAACAGTCTAGCTTAACATATTTCCTTTACTTATCAAAGAGTACTTTGTCCTTGATTCGCCAGATAAATTAAGGCGCTCGACACTCACTCAGGTCAAAGAGGCCTCACCAAGACCCTCTGACACAAGACACCATGTCCACTACTGCCCCAGTTCTCGTTACAAGCAGTATGTCGGCACCTCATACCGAAGCGACGTAGACATGGCTAACGATCCGCCAGCAGCTACTCCCTCCCTTCCCCGGAAGGTGACTGCAGATCCACTTCAGGATGAATTCAAGAGACTGCAAGAACTGTTCACTGTCGGATCTGCCAAGCTGAAGCAGATTACTGACCACTTTGTCCATGAACTCGAAGCTGGTAAGTACCACTGATGATGCCTATCTCTCGAGATATTGAATCCTAACGTGTTTCAGGTCTCAGTGGCCAGGGCGGCGACCTTGTATGTCATTCCACCGAGTCATCGAACCGTTAGAATAGAGGCTAACAGGAACCGATCAGCCAATGAATCCAACATGGGTGATGCAACTGCCCCACGGCGACGAAAAAGGAACCTTCTTCACTATGGACATGGGAGGCACCAACTTTCGCGTCTGCAAAGTGACCCTGCACGGCACCGCGGGCAAGTACGACGTCCTTCAGATGGACAACAAGATCCCCAATTCGTTAAAGTCTGGCACGGCAGAGCAACTGTGGCACTACGTTGCCGACTGTCTCCAGCAGTTCATCGATCGCTATTCCATCTCGGAGAAGGAACTCGCTGAGACGCCTCTCGCCTTTACCTTTTCCTACCCTGTCACCCAAACATCCGTCTCGAATGGAATCCTCCAGCGATGGACCAAGGGCTTTGACATTAGCGGTGTCGAGGGGACGGATGTGGTTGCTGAGCTTCAGAAGGTTCTCACGGAGAAGGTCGGTCTCCTCATTTCCTGTATAGAGCTTGAATATTAACTCGAATAGGGTCTCCCCACTAGGATCGTCGCCTTGGTCAACGACACAGTCGGTACCCTGATGGCTTCTTCCTACGTCGACCCGAAGACCGAAATCGGTAGCATCTTCGGCACAGGCAGTAATGCAGCGTACATGGAGCGATGCTCCAAGATCCCGAAACTGTCCGATCACAATCTCCCTGGTGACGCATTCATGGCCATCAACTGCGAATACGGCGCCTTTGACAACAGCCAGCGGGTGCTCCCCTTCACTAGCTACGACGTCGAGGTCGATCGCGCCTCCCCCAGACCCGGTCAACAGCGATACGAGAAGATGGTCGCTGGCTTCTATCTTGGGGAGATCTTCCGGCTGATTCTGCTTGATCTCCACGATAATGGCAAAGCGATTTTCCACGGTCAGGATATCTCCAAGCTACGCGAGCCATATGTTCTGGACTGCTGTTTCCTGGCTACCATTGAGAGCGACAAGACCGGAGATTTCAAGACAACCAAAGATCTATTCGAGACAACACTGTCCATCACGCCAGCCCCGTCCGAGCTACGCTTCTGCTATGACCTGGCACACATGATTGCCTTGCGGTCGGCTCGGCTGTACGCGTGCGGCATCGCGGCCATCATGAAGAAGCGGGCTTTGGACAGCTGTCATGTCGCCGTGGATGGATCCGTGTTCAACAAGTATCCGTGCTTCCCGGAGAGGGCGATCGGTGCGCTGAAGGAGATCCTGGAGTGGCCTGCTGAGACCCCGGATCCGATCCGGCTGATTCCTGCTGTGGATGGCTCGAGTGTAGGAGCTGCGGTGATTGCCTCGTTGATAAGCAGGTCAAACCAGCGGTAGACTTTCTTGGCTTCTAGAATTATCTGTGTCCTTTTTCTATGTCGCGTGGTGTTGGCGGGCGTTTCTCGTGTCATGTATTTCAAAATGTGAGTAATGATTAGGAATACGAATGATCATTCAATAGCTGCAAAGCTGTCTTCATGGGCCTCAAAATACACTTACAATCATCCTAGCTAAATGGAATATGAGCTAGATGCGAGTACACTGCTCAGAAGATGGAGATCTCCCGTTGAATCATCTCCGGACACTCCAGCGGAAGCAAATGCTTCACACCAGGGACGGTCTTCAGAGATACCTGGATCCCACTGCTCTCGAAAAATTGACGGACTTCCTTGTCTATCCGTTCCTTCGGTTCAACAACGTCAGACTCTCCTACCAGGATGCTAACTCGTAGCTTCTCCTTATCCATCGATTCGAGAGCCCCCTTGACCGCGTCGGATACATCCTCCGCCATACTGTACGTCGGCCACGCCGTCTTGGCCAGCTGATTCCCTTGCAAGCTGTCGCGAATCACCATATCGATATCTTCTTGTTGCAGATTATCCGGATGCGCAAGGATATGCTGCACCGACCAACGGACGGACTGTGCGGTTGCGTATGCGGTTTTCTGCTGTTCTCTCCTTTCCGGATCCGGGAGCAGAGGCGTGGGGGGCGCCGGAGCGATCAGGACCAGTCCTTTGAGGCGGTGGAGTAGGTCGCGTGGCAGTGTTGAGAGACTCGCCATGGCGACCTTGGCTCCCATGGAGTGGCCGATGAGGATGAATCCGTGCGCCAGGATTGCTTTCCTGTGTTGGTCTGCCGCCAGCTGTTGCAGGGTCAGAGCCACATCTTTTGCCATGGAGGAGATCGAGTAGGCGGTGTCATTGTCCTGGGATGGTCCGGTTGACTTTCCCCATCCACGATGATCGATTGCGAGGACGGGATATGCTGAGCTGAGGGAGGTAGGGGAGTCTGGCGCTGTGAGTTTGTACCATGTCGAGGACGAGCCACCCCAGTAGTGGAGGAACACCAGGAGGGGTTTATGGTGGTTGACGGTAGGTTGAGAGATACAGGCATGTATCGAGACATCTGGGGTGTGGCTGAAGGTTATTGAGTCCATGGTCTCTCAATTGACAACTTCAATTTGAAAGGCGTGTGTTGCTAAGGATATGAGATGTGCAATAGGAATACTGAAGCGTACAAATGATTTCGTCACTACTATGGCTATTCACTGCGTAGGACTCAGGAGATGATTAAATAGTCCTCTAAGAACTGCCTAGCCAACATGAGGTTTGATTGCCTACTGCGGTATTAAAAAGAAATGACGCTATGTTCCCAGCAGCATGGTTACCCCTTGCCTGTTGATCCTTATTGATAGTGTGATCGACTGCGCATAACCAATAAGTTGACGTTTTTGTCCCACAACAGTCCAGATATCGGATTTTCGGAGTTTCGGAGTATAGAAAAGATGCATTCGGACTTGGAAAATGCTTGAAAACAAGACAAACAAAGAAATCATGACTCGTATGATCCTATCAACCTTAAGGCCAAGAGGTGGGACAGAATGACATATGTACAGCCTGGACCTCAGATATCAAACTTCTCAGTCCTTTGGTTGATGAGATGGTCCCCGTCCCACTCGATCGCCCGGACCTGCCGGACTGCCTGCCATTGTCTCAACCTCTTTCTTCGAGACCAATGGCTCATTCTTGCTGGGTGATTGGGCACGGAAAGCGAGCCAAGCGCCGGCGGTCACGGCGAAAATACTCAGAAGAGCAATATTACGTGAGCTGGGAAGATGTGTAAGTAGGTGGCAGAGCATGGCCCGGTAGTACGTACCTGGTCGCTTGAGGACGACGACCGTTTGTAAAACCTCCGGAATAAGCAGCCATGTTGAGATACAAGCACAGATATCAACCGTCAATGATGTATAGAATTATCAATAGAATCGGTCACGAGGATTTATTCTAGACTCTCATGTAGGTCCATATCTTTACATATATACATTCTCAATCCTAGCACGAGTGACGTCAAGACCACACACATAAGAACTGATCCATGTGGTATGATCGAGATCAGATCCGCCGGTTTGGCAGAATCCTTCAGGAATTCAGGATCTCTGCTATTGCCTTATATTCACTTGTCTTGCGTCAACGCGACGTAGGGCTGCGGGTGTCTTCTTGGCCTGATTTCCGCGTCGCCGGGTGGCGCTATCTTGGCGACAGACTGCTGATTAGAGTACGCATAGACTATGTTCTAGCTGATATTTATGGACTGATTGTGTTCTAGCTGGGATTTATTGCTATTCAACTTAATTATAGTCTATACTAACCTCTTGCTACTGAGTCTATTATCTTCCTTGGTTACTATCTAAGGTAGCAATAAATGAACGCGGGAACAGGCAGTGCTTAGGAGATTATATAATATATATAAGCAGATGAGGCAGCAGGCAGTCCCGTAACAAGGGCACTGTGGCATATTATAGAGTCAGAGTTATGGTATACATGGTATACCTTATGGCAGCCCTAGATAGGATGTAGTACAGTAGTAGGGCCTTAAAAGGTGCAGAGGAATAGAGAAGTAAGGCCTGAAGAAAGAGGCATCGAGGCTAAACGGGAATTCTGACTGATTATTCAGCATTCTCCATTAACGTAATCGGACACCGAGCGAGCCACCCAAATATGATTTCGGCCGCGGTCGAAAACCATGAGATATTACTACTACGCAATCAAAATGAAGCCATCTCTATATATAAAAGAATCAAATTATCTACTACGGCAGCTAG